CCAGCCCCCCACACGCTGACCCCAGCTGACCTTGTAAGGGTGAAATTCGGGTAATCAATAATGTAATTAAACTTAGATGCCTTGCAGTTGGCTCGTCCTGATATTCAGCTATTTCCTCTTTGTTTCTCCTCCCACTGATTAACTGGAGAACCCTGTCTGTTCCCTTCTGTAAGGCGACCCACACCTTGTTAATTCACAAACATCCTCTGCTGAAGAGAACAGCTGCTTTAATCTTCAGGCGCTGGGGTGTCCGGGACCCAGTATCACGACTCCCTAGAACTTTTTTGCAGATGGCTATGGACAAAAAGTTTTACGATAACATTGAGACAGACCTGAGGCCTCAGAAAGCCCCGGGAGACGACTTCTCAACTATTAGCCCTGAGGCTCGTTTTCCTTTGTTTCCCATTTACCTGCCTCTAAAACCTAATGTTCATTTTGGCTCGGGGAAGGTGGATTTCTAGACATGAGTCTGCCATCTTCCCTAGCTGCTGGCATCTAGAATAAAGGACACTTTTCTCCTCACCAACCCTTGTCACTCTAGTGTTTTGGACTCTGGGTGGCCAGCGGCACCAAACCTGAGTTCGGTAACAACCTCGGCACCTCGGGCCGCACACAACCGCTGGCATTCCTCTCAGCCCCAGGGCCTTTGCACCTGCTGGGCTTCTGCTTCCACGCCTTGCCACCTCCTTCCCCATTTTCCGTCCTTGCTGCCACGGCCCTTTCTCTGAGAGGCCCGCCCTCACCCCCCTCAGTTTAAACCCAGTCTTTCCTTTGTTCATCTGGGTCGCAGCTCTCACATTCTGAAGCGACATTTTTATTGTTGAAATGAACTCCACAGCCCCAGCTACTTTCCTCCATCCTCACTTCCTCCCGGCCAGGGGTCGGCACCCGGACAGCCGCAGCTCTTCCCAGGGGATGAGCCTCCCAGGGTGGCTGTCCTCGGGCCTAGCTGTTTCAGAGGAATGCCCATGAATCAAGTTGACATTTCCATTACCGGAAGCTAGGATGGGCTGGCTTTGGTTGAGGCGGGGGGGTGTGTGTGGGGGGGGACTGCTCATCACGTAGCCACCAGCTGAGGAGGGACATCAGCCCAGTGACTGCCTGAGGTCTGGGCCTGCCCATCAGCCCTCCGCCCAGGGGAGGGCCATGGCCCTGAGGACCCTCTGCGTCTGGGGAGAGAGGGGGGATGTGGGCACATGAGAGAGCAGAGCCCCATCTCAGAGCACTGTGTGCAGACACATGTCCATGAGTGTGTGCACGGGGCCAACGGGGGCACAGAGGCATGAGCGTGCTGAGGACACATGTTAGCACGCATGCACACGTCACGTGCCACTTCGAGCTGGTCCAGTGTGCAGGCTGGCCTGGCACATCCAGGGCGTGGGGGTACAGGGACACTGGGTGTGGGTGCCCAGGGCAGGGCAGATGCATGAGCACTACTCTGGGATGTGGGCCAGGCCAGCTTCTGGGGGTCAAGGTGAAAGGCAAACACCCAAAGCCAACAGCCATTCAGGGGTCAAAACACGTCTGTCAGCACAGGGGTTGGAGCCGGCAGAGCTGTTTGCAGGGGCAGGAGGGGGCCCTTTGCTTCCCCATCCAGGTTTCTATGTGCCCACCCAGGGCCCCTGCCTTTAAGCCAGGTGGTCCTCCCTCCTCCCAGACCTGGCCGTGCTCCCTGCATGAAGACAGCTTCCTAGTAACGCTCAGTAGAGACCCACTGGGACCCTGCACCCAGCCTGCCTGGAAGTGCTTCCTTCTATCTCACCAGCAGCCTTCTTGCTGCAGGCTCTGGCAGGCTGAAAGACATAGCTGGTTCTCACACCTGCGCAGTAGGCACCTGGAGAGGACAAAAGGACCTGGTACCTGAGTGACCCTCTTCCCCTCCCCCCGGCCTGGGCAGGGAAGGCGGACAATGTCCCCTGCCTGCGCCGTCCGCACACCATGAACACACAGCACTCGCACAATTTTTTATTGAATATGTTTCTTGACGCCGACTCTTTCTTTATACTGAAATGCCTATTTGGTTCCATCCTAAGCAGTAACGTCTGTGAACTCACGGCACCCATGTACCCGTGTTACATTTTATTTTTTCCTAGTACACATGTACATAAACACAACTATTAAAATAGATTAAAATTTTGCCCCTGTGTCAACTGACATCACCTCCTGGACCTCTGTGGTCCACCTGCCAACTTCAGAAGGACCCCAGGTGACACTGAAGAGCTCTGAGATGCCTGGCGTCCGGGGCCAGTTTCCTGTCGGATGCATCCCCGCCCAGCGCCAGGTCCTTCCTTCGCCCAGAGGCCGAAGCCCAAACTCCTTGTCCTGACATTCAAGGCCTTTGAAACAGGGCCCCAGCCTCTCTCCCAGACCCATCTCCTGCCCCACACAATCGGTCCGAACTGTTTCCTGAACAAATGAAGAATGGATGGATGACGCACTCGCTTGATTCATTGATGCATGACTGAATGGGCGCACGCCTCCACCTGGGTGTCCCCGGGGCGCCTGGCCCCTGAGCCTGGCCCCCACCCAGCCCCTTACCTGAACGTCATCTCCAAAAGCCTCTTCTTCCCACATCTCTCCATCCGGAGCCCACTGATTTCCCCGCCTGACTAGCTCCTCCATCTGCCCTCACTCCCATCCCCAGCGCCACTTAGCTGAACCTGGCCCCGCTTTTCTCGCCCTTTGAGTGTGGTCAGGAGGGGTTGGGTGGGCTTCCCATGTCTTCTCTGCCCCCAGCCCTTGGGGACACCCAAGATGCACAGCGGCACAGTCCACTCCACTGCAGAAAGCAGCCCGGCCACCGCAGACTCAGGACAAGGTCCAAGCTTCCTAAGGGCCTTCGGTCTCCTCTGGCCTGGCTCCACTGAGCCCCGCGGCCGGCTTTCTTACCACCCCTGCTGCTGCCTTCTCTCCACATCTGCCATCTCGAGTCCCTGTAGTGTTCCTGACTGCCTTCCCCTCTACACACTTGCCTGTCTGACATCTAGACAATCTTCACGTCTTGGCTTAAGTGTCCTTTCCCCAAAGGAGCCTCCCCTCACCCCTGCCCTTGCCAGCAGGTGCTGCCTTGGGCTCCCACAGCCTCGCACTCCCCCATTGCAGTCACAGTAACCAGCAAAGTGCTTCCTCTGTACCAGGCTCTGTTCTAGATGCTTCTGTACATCAGCTCATTGAACCCTCAGCACAGCTTTAAGAGGTAGGTATAAGGAGCGTCCCCATGTGCCCATGGGGACGAGGCACAGGGAGGTCATGCACCTCGCCAGGGTCTCAAGTGGAGGGGCTGCGGCCGGAACCCTGGCTGCCTGGCCCAGAGCCAGGCACCCAGCCCCTCACACACCGAATTATGGTCGTCGGTCTTGTTATCCGTCCTGCTCATCCGTGAGCTCTGCGAGGACAGACGCCCTCTCTGCATGGTTCCCTGTCCTAGCTCAAGTGCCTATCGCCGTGCTTGGTCCACAGTAGGGGCACACGGATTATATCATTGGCTGGATGGACACACAGAGGGGTAATGAATATGATGACGGGTGATGCATGAAAGGATGATGGATGGATGTCTGATACAAGGAACAATGACGACTGATGGGCGGATGATGGATGGATGGATAACGGATGGATGATGGATGCACTGCTGATGGCTGATGGACAGATGATGGATGGGTGATGGAAAGATAAATGGGTGACGGGTTCATGGAAAAGTGAAGAACATACTCTGCTTTGGGGAAAGCTCTAGAAATCCTTCTGGAAAGGGACGAGGCCTCTTGGAGTCAGGAGTCCTGGCTGAAACCTCAGTGCTGCCATTCGCCAGCTCTGTGATCTTGGGGGCAAGTTTCACCACCTCTGCGACCCTAAGTCTCCTCGTCTTTATAATAGGAATCTGTTTCCCCAGGCACCTAAGCCTTAGGATTTGATGTAAAGGTGGCTGTAGACATAGGGTAAGGGTCCCCATGGTGGTCAAGGTAGTTTAGGGTCTGGGGGTGAGGGCCTCTCTCCTGCCCGCCCTACACCTCCCATCTGCCTGACGCCCCACCTTGCCCACCCTCTGGGATCCAAAACAGCCTGCCAGCCTGGCTCCATCTTGACCCCAGCCCCAAACCAGCCTGGCTCTGAGCGTCCTGTCTCCCACACCTCAGTGACCCCGCACACTGGGGGCCATCTCACCTTCAGGCTCCTTGAGGACCCAATAGGATGGGGCCGTGAAGAGGCAGACACAGCCCAGAGAGCAAGGGGCCTCCACACACAGCGAGAAACAGGTGCAACAAGCATTTATTGAGCCCCTGCTGTGCCTGCTGTGTGGCCCCCCCCCAGCCCCTCCTTCAGGAAGCCCCGCCCACGCCCTGCCCCTCACAGGGCACCCCCTGAACTTCCTGGCCGGCTCAGGGGTCCCCAGGCTTTCAGTGGCCAATGTCCACGTTTTTCCTGGCATCCCAGCTGCACCCAGCAGTCTCTGCATGTGATGGTTGCAAGAGTTAAGAGTTGCTGTCCCAGTGTCACTCTGGGCAGCCCTGTGTGTTCCCACAGGCCACGCCGGCTCCATTGCCAGGGCCCTGAGAGCCAGGGAAGCGGTGGGCAGCAGGCCTGGTGTCCCCCACACAGGCTGGCTGAGTTCAGAGTCCAGGTCTCCACGGTTGCCAGGAGGCTGGTGCCAACGACGGGCTGAGTCTGGGGGCCAGGCTGGGTCTCGGTCACACCCAGTGCCCCAGCACCCAGCACTGGCGGTTCAGCTCTGGTGCCTCCTGCGCAGAGCTCCGGGGCCAGGAATCTCCCATGTGCTGCTGGTGACCTGCCGGGACACACGGAGTTCAGTGCTGACAGCTGCCCTCTCCACCCACACCCCACTGCCCACTGCCCCACGCGCTCACCGCTCACCTACCCACACACCCAGGACCACATCCACCTGACAGGCCTCCCACCCGCCCTCCAACACTCCTACACCCCACCTATCAACCCACATGCAGCTCTCTACCCACCTACATGCCCAGCTCTCTGCGCCATCCCGTGCCCCCATTCCCCACCATCTACCCACCAGTTCACTGACACCGATCTGCCAGTATCCGCTGCCATCCACTTCTCAGCCACCAAAACATGCACCACTCCACGCTCACACTGTTCCCCCCAACAGTCCCCCACAGCCTAAAACCCAACCATACTCCTCCCACCGACCAACACCATCATCCTATCACACCATGAACACACCCAATAGCCCCGCTTCTCATACACACATCCACCTGCAACCCCAAACAATCACATACACACCTGCTCATGCACCCCAGCCCCCGTCTTCTCCCCAACCTGCTGACACATCTGCTACCTCACCAAGTCCCCAACCCCCATGCACACCCCTCCCAACCCCCCATCTTCCTGCCCCCAACTCACCCACACACCCATCCAACAATCCCCACTGACCCTGCACCCCACCTGCCCGCACGTTCACCTCCCCACACACTCGGTTAACCACCCCATCCCTCCCCGACCCACCCAGCCCAGGCATCCTGCAGCCACCTCGCACCCCCATGTGCTAAAGGGCTGTGAGGGGGTTGGGAGGACACATGTGCATGACTCCTGGGCCCTGGTCCTTACCAGCCCCAGGAACAGAGAGCGCCTGGGAGGCTGTGCCTCAAACTGAGTCTGAGAAGCCTGCCCCCCACCAGACCACGGCATAGGACAGAGAGCACCTCGTCCCACTACTGTCCCCTGCTCTCGATGGCAGGGCATGTGGGAGGGCTGGGGGTCTGTGCTGACCCCACATGCTCACCCATGTTTTCCTTGCTTCTCAGAAGCTTGCTCCCTGCCTTCGCACAAGTGCCACCTTGGCGCTTCTAACACACCAGAACCATTTCTGTCTCCACACTGTGACCAGCCCAACATGTCCTCGTACCTGCTGTGAATCATACCGTCAAGTCTCCCCTCCTACAGGAAGCCCCCCAACAGCCTCTCCTCGGGTCCATCTTGGGGCAGCCACTCCCAGTGGCTTTCCCCAGCTTCGCCTCTTTAGATGGGAGCCCAGGGGAGCGATGGCTCAACCCAGGAAAAATGCTCCATGGTGAACAACAGCGTGAGGGAGAGACTATCAGTGACCGAGCGCTTAGTCAACACACCCACCCATATTCTAGTCTCACCAGCCTGGGAGGCAGCTGTCACCGTTTCACAGATGATGGAGCTGAGACTCAGCAAGGATAAGTGGCAGCCTTACGATTCAGAGCTACAGAGGAGCTGGATCATATAAATTTCTTCCTGATTCCAAACTTCCATGTTCAAAGAAATTTGTTCCTTGTTTTTCTTTTTTTTCTATATACTTTGAGCTCTAGCAGATGCTCAGACATCCTTGTCATCCTTTGGGGTTACACAGTTCTTTCCAGCAAGAGGTGGGAACTCCGGCTGGAGCCAAGCTCCTGCTTGCATACCTCCAAGGACAGGCTGCTCATTACTCTTCCTGCACCTTCAAAGATGCTCTCACTGATGGGGATTCTTCTTAAAACAAAGGGTGGGAGGCAACAGGCAAAAATAAATATGGTTGGCCCATGATGGGGGTGCCCTTTTTTTGTTTTTTGCTCTGGCTTTTTTTCTGTTTTTAAAAGTTGTTAATGTTGGTTGGTGCTTTGCTAATTTTACTCTTATTTTCTGAAGGGGTGGGAAACATTTGGCAAACGTCCTGGAATCGTTTGGCCCCAGGAAAAACATTTGTTTTGGCCCCTGTCACTGAAACCGTTGCGTTCTTTGAAAGTGCTCACTGCCGAGTTAGAGGTGTTTGGGGTTTTTTTTTTCTTTCTAATCTAGAAGCAAATATTTGGTGTACAGAAAGGTTTGATTATTGTTCTACGTGAGTATTTAGAAGTGATTGTAGCTGCTCTTACCACTGCCAACAGGCAGAACCTTGGAGAGTTCATGGGAACAAAGGGAAAGTGATGCATTTTTTTTTAAGTTTTTTTTTTTTTTAAGATTTTATTGGGGAATTGGGGGAGGGGAACAGCACTGGGGAATTGGGGGAAGGGGAACAGACAAGTTGCTGTCGTTTTGTTCTTCAGTCTAGTTGTGGAGGACGTTGCTTCACTGGCCCAAGTTGGCACCATCATTGTGCTCTTCCCAGGCGAGGCAGATGAGTCGCTGGCCTCTGGACGGCCGCTCATGGCAGCTGCTGGCTGCTCACGCTGGCTGCTGGCTACACACGGTAGCTTATGGCAACCCACTGCAGCAGGGAGCTGCAGCCTATGCCGTTGCTGGCGACTCACGGCAGCCCAGCTCCAGGCCAAGCTGTTGTTCAGCATCTTAGCTGTAGAGGGCACAGCATCACTGGCCCTCATGTGGGATCTGAACCAGGGCCCTGCTGCTCAGAGCTGGTGTCCCAAGCCAACGCCTAACCAACACGCCACTCGGCCGGGCCATGATCATGAATTTTTAAGGAACAAGAAAAGCCATGCTCCCTAGCCTTCCTTGAGTTAAAATCAGGGTCCTTGTTCCTGGATCTGGAGGCCACATCATTAAGGACCGAGCCCTCTTCCCCTCTCCAGCCTCTCGGGAGGAGCTTGGGGCTCAGAGCCATTTACAGTGGGAGGCAAGGGGGCTCTGTCCTCACACCTGAGGAGTACCCCACCAGCCCACCAGGACTGCCCACTCATGACCCTCCTCCAGTCCGTTTACTTTGAGGCCAGTCACCAGCCAGGAAAAAAACAAGCCTTTTACTGTGGATTGAGGAATCCCACCTCAAAATGTCTACAGGGCCCAAGCAATGACGTAAGTGGGTGGGGCATCCAGAACCGCATTCCTCAGCTCTGGACGATTGCTGCAGTGGGGAACGTGCAGATCTTCCAAAAAGTTCCGAGAAACAGAACATTGGCATTTTGAAATAAAATCTCCTGGCTTTTAAAGGATGACAGCTAAAGTGTTTAAAACATTGTAAACCATCCGCGGGCCACGCAGCAACTCTCAGGCTGGACTCAGCCCGCTGGAGGTCATTTCTGACCTGTTTCCCCCAAACTGCGTCATTGTTCCATGGTTTTGCACAGTCTGGTCTCTCGGCCAGGGTGGCCTCCCCTGCTGTTCTCTGGCTGTTGACTCCCCCATTCTTCTTTCAAATGCTCCCTCCTTTGTGCCCCACAACACACTGCACTTTGTGTTGTGGGGGGGGGTTTCCCAACTAACCTGGGGACTCAATGCAGGCCGAGAGCAGGTCAACGTCATCCTGGAGCCCTCGGCCCCCAACACCTGGCAGGGCCTGGAGCAAGTCCTGAGCTGACTTGATACCACAGGAGGAAGCCATGCCGGAGGTGGAGTGGTTCCTAAGCTGGGCGGCTGGGCTCCATCCAGCCTTCCTAAGGCTGAGATTCTGCACACTATGAGGTTCTTTGCAGCCTCCCCTTTCGGGGAAAAATAACCAGACCTGCAGTCTGAGAGTCAAATGTTTGAATCCCGACTTCTTCATTTATAAATTGTGTGACTTTTAAGCCGTGTGTCTTTTGATAAGTAACGTCACTTCTCTGAGACTGCGAATGGATGTGAGTAACAAGGGATCAACAGGCCCCCTGCATAGAAACACTTCATTATCCGATTTCAGACAGATGTGAAAATAAAACGCGAGAACCAGTGGGGGTGGGGTTCCATCGCCTCTCTTCACAGATGGGAATGCAGAGCCCCGTAGGTGGAAAGAGGTTTGTCCAACGACCCACTCACAGGGTTGGTGGCAAGTCCTGTGTTTTACATTCCCTTGAAACCTCCCAGGCTTAGCAGAGTATTTGGCACATGGGAGGTTCTCATATGGGTTCTCTGCCCTTTTCTAATCCAAATGTCAAAACATGAACATATTTAATCTCCATCTCTCCCAGTCCTAACTTCCCAACCCTTCAGTGAACTCTCTCCAAGGCACCAAGAAAGACCCTGGGGGTCAGCTCTTAGCTGTGCTGAACTGAATGAATTCACATCCAACATGGATTCACTCTGTTGGGAGGGTCCTTCAAAGACCAAGAATGCCACACAATGTGCAGATGGGGAAACCAGGGATCTTAGAGGGGAGACCAAGGGGCTCTGAGGCTGGGAGAGAAATCAGTGAGGGCGGGCAAGGCTCGGGAGTGGGCAGCTAGCTGCTATGGGCGCTCCTGACCCCACAGCAGCCCAGCCTGGCATGGAAGACCTGAATCCCTTTATGAGGGAATGACTTTGGGAGACAACCCGCTGTCCACGGTGCTGAAGACCTTTCTCCAGGACTCGTGGCCCAACCAGAGCCCACTGCCTGGCTGCCCAACCTTGAACCCTGCCCTCTAAAAAGAGATGAAATGTGGGGAGTGATGGTGAAATGCACCAAGGTTAGCACCGAAGTGTCTGGCTTTGGAGACCCTTCAGCTAAGTGACACCATCCTCCCTCTGCTGTTGCCTAAAATGTCACAACTTTGGGAATGTCCGGTTAGCTCAGTGGGTTAGAGCGCAGGCTCATAACACGAAGGCTGCCAGTCCAATCCCTACATGGGCCACTGAGCTGCACTCTCCACAACTAGATTGAAGACAACTACTTGACTTGGAGCTGATGGGTTCTGGAAAAACACACTGTTCCCCAATAAAATTTCTTAAAAAAAGAAAGTCACAGTCTTGACAAGGGCACCCTGACTGCATCTCCTAGTTGATTCCACTCTGTAGATCTGTGCCCTGAGGGGGCTCAGAGGTGCCATCATTTACTTGTTTCCTCCCAGTTTCCACTCTAGGCTGCATGTCACATGGGGACACAGACAAGCTCTTTTACTCATCGCTGTGTCCCCAGCACAATTCCAGGCAGTGTTGATAGTACGTCTGTTGAAT